AAAATCTATTAGTTTAAAAAAAAAGAACGAAAGAAAAATAAAGCATGACAAATGAAGAGAAACAATGCCAGAATGACAGAGATTTCTAAAACTCCATTCCTCCATTAAAGCACTAAGAACACTGGCAAATTTATCAAAATCAACTTTTTCAGAACTCTAGAAGTCAGCCAAATGCTTACAACTAAGGAGCATTTAATCAATAAAAACTGCTGAATCTCAGAGAAACAGCAAGCTCTGTGGCATTTTAATTTATCCAATAGCCACACCCATCTCCCTACCTTTGCGGTAGCTTGAGAATCAAAAGCATTCCAACAAGCATGGCAGCTGTGAAATCCAGCAATCACTAGAGATTGGGGGACAAAATGGGTTTAGAACTCTCCAAAAAGCACCACTTCCAAAGAACTGCTATGATCTGATCTCTCTGGCAGCTCCCTAGAAAAAGCCATTCTCAGGAGTTGGTTTGAGCTGATTCAAAGCTTGTTCATTAATTCCCTTATCCCTAGTGCACTGCTTAAAATCTCAGCTGCCTGAAATGGCAATATCAATTGGGACAAACAAGAAGCTGACCAAAAATCATAAAAGGAAAACCTGAGGAAAGAAACGTCCACAAGAGGCTTTGAAATGCTCCAATATAGTCCTGGGAATAGAGAAGAACATATACATGTATAGGCTGTAGATGTACATGCCAAGGAAATACCAGAGAATTCCCTAATCTTCCACCTTTGGCTGACTTTGAAACTGAACAAGCAGGAAGTGAAGGCCAAGGCAGAGCTGCAAACTACTTCCGGGGACTTCAGGTGTGCCTAAGTTGCAAACTACTTACAGGAGTTGTAGGTGTGCCTAAACAAACACACAGAGCGCCCTGATGGAGGGTGGGAGACTTATTAGTACCAGGCATTCAATGAAATCTCCTTCCAACCATTAGCTGACCACTAATCAAACCAAGCAAAGACTTCAAATATTTTTTTAAAATACAGACTTTTTACAGAATCTGTCTAGAAAAGTCAGTAAACAACCACAAAAAAACAACAACAAATTCTGGCCAGGGAGAAATCTGATTTAAGTAGTTTTCACATTATTTGTATTGATTTTTTCAAATTTTTTGTGACAAGCAAGGAATGATGCTCATACATTCCCTTAGTTAAGTGGTCACAGTGAAGTGAGGAGGGGCAGAAAGAATGTAACTAATGACCAAACATGTCCCAAATTTGATGAAAAACTTTAATCTGCATATCTAGGAGGCTCAACAAACTACAGATATGATAAACTAAAAGAGGGGTATATTACAATTTAACTGTTGAAAGCCAAAGAAAAAGTGAAAATCCTTAATGCAGAAAAAAAAGCCGGTGGGGGTCGGGGGGACTCATCACGTGGAAGACATGCTCAATAACATTAACAGCTGATTTCTCATCAGAAAGCATGGGGGTTGAAATATTACAAGGAACACTGCCAACCAAGAAGTCTACATTTGGCAAAACTATCCTTCAAAATAAAAGAGAAATTAAGATACTCCCAGATAAACAAAAACAGAGAATTTACTGCTAACACACCTTCCCTACAAGATACAGTAAAGTTAGAGACTTTAACAACTCACTTTCAATAATGGACAGAACAATTAGAGATATATGAGAAAGTAGAAGATTTAAACAACATTATAAACCAACAAGACCAAAAAGACATCTACAGAATATCTATAAAAATTAAATTAGCAATAAAAAAAAATTGCCACAAAGAAAAGCCCAGGCCCAAATAACTTCACTGGTCAATACTACAAAACATTCAAAGAAGAATTCACAGAAACCCTTCACAAACTCTTCCCAAAAGTAGAAGTGAAAGGAATACTTCCCAATTCAATCTGTGTGGTCCTGATATCAAAACAAGACAAGGATATCTCAAGAAGAAAAACAAAACTATAGACCAATATTTTTTAAGAATACATATACACACACAAAAAAAAAATCTTCAACAAAATACTAGCAAACTGAGTCACACAACATACCAACATACCAGCACAACACACAACATACCAAAGAATTATATACCATGACCAAGTAGACTTTTGCCAAGAAATGCAAGGTTGGTTCAATATCTGAAAAAGTCAGTGTATTACTCCACATTAGTAGAACGAAAGCGGAAAAAAAAGATTATCTCTATAGACACAGAAAAAGTAACTGACAAAATCCAATACCCTTTCATAATAAAAACACTCAACTATCCATGAATGCAAGGGAACTTCAAACTGATAGAAAGTCTCTTTTAAAATCCACAGCTAACATCACATTAACAGTAAAATATTTAAAATATTTATTTTCCCTCTAATATCAGAAACAAGACACACCTATTGGCTTTCACCACTTCTACTCAACAGAGGTTGTAGCCATAGCAATTATGCAAAAGATAAAAAGAAATTCATCCAAAATGGAAAGGAAAAGGTAAAAACTATTTGCAGATAACATATCTTGTTCACAGAAAATCCCACAGCTGGGGTCCCCAAACCCCTAGCCAGGGACCAGTACCAGTCTGCAGTCTGTTAAGAACTAGGCCGCACAGCAGGAGGTGAGCAGAGGGCAGGCATGCAAGCATTACTGCTTATCTGACAGGAGCTCCACCTCTTGTCATATCAGTGGCAGCATTAGATTCTCATGGGAGCACGAACCCTCTTGTGAGCTGCGCATGCAAGGGATCTAGGTTGAACACGCTTTATGAGAATCTAACTAATGCCTGCTGATTTGAGGCGGAAGAGTTTCATCCCAATCCCAAAACCATCCCCCAACCTCCCACCTGTGGCCTGTGGAAAATCTGTCTTCCAGGAGACTGGTCCTTGGTGCCAAAAAGGTTGGAGACCACTGTCTACAGGACTAAGCAAACAGAGGGTTAAATGACTTGTACATGAACACTGCAGCCACTCAGGACTGCAGTAAGGCTTATAACAAAGAGGGAAAGTGGGCCAAGGGCCAAGCCTTTTTGTAAGCTCCAGGTAGGAACCAGTGAAGAGGAGTTTCACTGAAGAGGGTGACTGGAAAATAAGAATCTTTGGTGTAAAAATGTTCCTGGGGAAGTAGTACATTTGGGAAAGAGCTAGGTTTCAGTTATGATTAGAAGAATGTAGGTGAAGAGATGAAGAATGTGAGTTTGCTAGGATATAAGAGAATTCTAGATAGCATATCAAAAGGTGTAGAAAAAAAGGAGGTCTAGGCGGAAAAGAAAAGAGGAAGATTAGACCAGATAAAAAGACAGAGGAGTATTACGATGAGAACATGAGTGGATGTATTAGTTCTCAACCACCAGTCTTCCAATACCCCTGAGTAAAGGATAAGGCATGATCCTATAACTAATGACAATAATAATGGGAGTTAAGGGACAGAAGAAAGCGAAGCAATACTCAGGAAGTTTTAGAATGGAAAAAGGTCTTTTGCACATGCAATATTGAAAAGGCCCTGGGGCTAGTACACCCAAACCTTTCTAATATCAAGGCACAGAGAGAGATTAATAGTTTTAAGTTATGCTGGGGTAAGGCTCATCTTGGAGGAGGTTTCTTTCTGTACCACCCATCCCATAACTTGCCCAGGTGGATCTGGGTGTCTCAAACCCAGCACCAACACCCCAAAGATTGAGAGTTTCAATGAACTGATCAATCTATATCCATTCACAACAAACCAGTATACCTCAGCCCAATTGTTGGGAAGTTCTGTGCTAAGTCAGTCAAATTAGCAACCCCTAAGAAAGCTGTACATTTTTCTCTCCTCAGTAAGAACCACTTGTGTGCATGATCCACACCATAGTCCCTTAAAATTAACTAAGTATAAGGGATTTGTGATCACATGTTTTGGAAAATGGCTACATATTATATCTTTTACCACCTTTTGCAAAATCACAGTACTATATTTATACATAAAAGCACAATGGAGTCCGCCATTTAAAAAATATTTATAATCTATTCATTCTCATACTCATTTGACCGGGGACCCTCTCTTTTTCTACAACTGTTGACATCCAAGGAACAGTTGTTTGAAAATGTTGCTTAACTTTTCTGACAAGTTAATTCAGGAAAAAAACACACCCTTTATCTTATGCATACTGTGTATGTTGTAATAAATCGAATTTTATTCTTTGCTTTCACTGCAAAGAATCTTAGAATCAATGTTTTCCCTCACTTTAGGAACTATACAACACCATGTTTTTCTTCCATTATTTCTTTAAACCAGTTGAACTATTTGTATTGTAAATGTGCTCCAAAATGACCTGAAATCCCTGTGGAATGAGATAAGAAAGTGAAAAGGAAAAACTAATAACTTCCATAGAGTGCCTACTGTAAACTAGACACTACTCTAGGCACTTTTACCCCTGATTCTCAAACACTGAGAGAAAGATATTATTAATTATGTTTTAAAGATAGTAAAGTGGAGATGGTTTAAATAAATTATCTAAGCTTGCAAAGCTAATCTGTGCCAGGTCAGGTTTTGATCCCAGGTTTCAGTGACTACGGAGCCTCATTACAAAATAAGATCTGATCAATTTAAAGACTATCCTCTACTTTGAAAAAGAAAAGACTAAACAGTACCTTCAGCACTAAACAGTACCTTCCTCTGTTTTTAATGGTACTTGTGGAATTTTTAAATTTTAACTTATTACATGAGCAAAAGACGACCAATCACTTGGCACTAATTTTAAATATTATTTGGAAAAACTATAAATTTAACAAAATTAACATTTCATCATTTCCAAATGAGAGCTAGAAAATCATACCATAACTTGAAGTCCAAAAAGCAGATATACATAAAGTATTTATATTTATGATAAAACTAAGGAAAAAACATTTGGGTCAAAAAGAACAAATTAGACATATTATTCCAATTAGTACCACATAAAACTTGAGTGCTTTTTGGTGCCTCTAAAAACAAACCAGACAAAAACAGATTTTTTGAGGGTTGTGGAAAAGGGAGAATTATAATTCAAAATCAGAAGACAGCAAATAAAATCTAAGTTAGAACAGTACTTACCTGCTCAAGTCACTTTTTCCATGGTGATGATAGTGGTCAGGGTGGCTGAGATGGTAATGCTCCTGTCCACTCCACCTCTGGGGTGGCCTTTTCCAAAAACCTTCCTGAGGCTGCCGAACATTTCTGTCTGGTCGGTCAAAGCGGTTCATATTGTCACACTCCACTAGACAGATTCAAAAGAAAAAGACTATAAACATGTACATACTCCATAAAAGTTAACTCTTATAGCTTGATAATTAAATGTTGCTGAAAATAAAAAAATAATATTCTAAAAATACCAGCCATTTATGTTAATCACAATATCAAGATTTCTAAAAGCATAACCAGTTCTTCTGGTGAAAACTGAACTTAATATCATTCAAAATGAAGTAAATTGTAAAACTTTTATATCACAGTCATGTAAACAATTAACTGCCACACTGTTTTAAAACAGGCAAATTATTCTGGAAATCAACATTATACATCTAAACACTCATAATCAGTTTTAGGTGGTTTTTATCACTGTCACAAGTTGGCTCTGATTTCAGAATGAAAATGACAGGAAACAGTAGATTTTTAAGAGAATTCATTCCTATAAATGACTGCTACAATTAATTTTCATTGATTTCCAGAAGCACAAATTAACTTTTCATCACAAACAAATCACACTTTTAAAATTAAGCTCACATTTTCAGAAAGAAAGACGCTTCAATCTGCCTGCAATAGGAGCTTGTTCTAAAGTCTAAAATGCCACTGAAAACAAAGCCAGTACTTTGCAGCAACAAACAGTACACTCCCTTAAATCCAAATACCACAAAAACACGAAAAGAATCTCTTTGAAACACCCCAAGCTTCTTCACTTACCCAAATACTTTTTCCTCACATATCTGAGCACTCACTAAGAGAGTTACTTTGCACAAGGGAGACATTGTGTTACCGACTGCCTACTCAGACATAGTTGCACCCAAGGCACTGCTGAACAGGCCTTCCTTCCTGCTCAACTCCCAGCCCTCCCTGTGGGAAGCAAGCCCAGTTTGCCCTGTGACTCCATCTTCACTCAGTGCTTACATAGCTACTGACTTAGGACGGTTACTAAAAATACTGCTAAACACTAACCCAAGCCACAGAACAGGAAAGGTTTCTCTAGTCTGAGAACTACTACATGAGAAAGTTCAAGTCCTGCATGTTCAGAATTCCTTGTAATAAAAAGCTATAAAAATCAACATAATCCCCATTTAAAAAAACAAAAACAAAAACAAAACCTCGCTTATTTAAATTACTGTTTCAATGAACCAAAAACTTGAATTTGAAACATGACGAGTGTTTCATTACAGTATACTGGATAAAAACAAACTTCGGCATTCCAAAAAAGGATATTGTAGTTTGAAAAGTACAGATGTTCAGTTCTCATATATACTGAATTCATTTTAATGTATTTCTTCGAAATGTGTAACAATTTACACACATTTTTTAAAGGACACTGAAATTTTGTTTATATTCACTAGAATCACCTTAAGAAGAAATATACATTCAATAATGTGAAAAAAAATTTTTTTCATGTTTTAAAAGAAACCTTACATTTGAACTTATTTCAATTTGTTGTCATCTTACAGGAATAAACCAAGTTGTTGTTTTTTTTTTTTAAGTTCACTTATAGAAAACTTCACAAATAAAGGCATGGTGACCATTATGTACAAAAATGTCAGAAGTAGAAAATAAGATAGCAAAAGAAAATTTAAAATAATCATCTCGAGAAGGTTTTACTTTTTGTTTGATGAGACAGGGTCTCAATCTGTCACCCAGGCTAAAGTATAGTGGTGCAATCATAGCTCACTGTAACCCCAAACTCCTGAGCTCAAGTGATCCTTCCGCCTCAACCTCCAGACCAGCTAGGACTACAGGCATGAGAGGCCATGCACAGTCTTTTTTTTTTTAAGAGATGGGGTCTTGCTATACTGCCCAGGCTGGTCTCAAAATCCTGGCCTCAAGGGATTCTTCCACCTCACCTTCCCAAAGTGCTGGGCTTACCGGCCTGAATCACCATGCCCAGGCTTCAAGATTTAAAATTGCTTTTAGCTTAGTGCCTTTCGCAACATCATATATAAATTCGTATTTGTATTATATTCATAGATTCAGTCAAGACCCAGTTAAGTATTTCTACATGGTATTAAAATGTTTCTTTAGTTTAAGTAACTCTATATAATGAAGGGATAATCTACATTTAACTGTTCCGAATTCATATTTTTCCTCAATTTAGGCAAGAGAAATTCCACTCACTCCCAAAGCAAGAAACATTGTCAAAAAAACAACTTGATAGGTTATTCGAATGGTATCAATACTGTCCACACAGAGGACGAAGCAAGCAAATCGCGTGAATAGGCCAGGAGATGGGTTAAATATTGTGAGCAATTACAATGTAGAAACTGATGTGGTGCTTTCGTATTTAATAAAAGTTGTAGGTTCCACATATAGACTCCAAATTGAGGAATCTTTATTGAAACTTGAACTCAAACATGGGCATAATGGCAAGTAAGCACTGGAAGCAAACATTTGCCATAACCACAAAAGACTAACGTTCAAACTGAGACAAAGTGGGCTTAAACTCTAGAGAAATGACTGCTCCAAGATTCTGCAGAAAGTATCATGTTTAACTTCTCAAGGCATCCATCAATCACGTGCTATATATTTTAAAATGCTGCTAAAAAGATAATGTGGAACAACACTGCTGGTAGTTTCTTAGAAAAGATTAAAGATTTTGAGATGAAGTCTAGCTCTGTCACTCAAGCTGGAGTGCAGTGGCATGATCTTGCCTCACTGCGGCCTCCACCTCCCAGGTTCAAGCTATTCTCCTGCCTCAGCCTCCCGAGTAACTGAGATTACAGGCACGCATCACCAAGCCTGTCTAATTTTTTCTATTTTTAGTAGAGAAAGGGTTTCACCGTGCTGGCCAGGCTGGTCTTGAACTCCTGACCTCAAGTGATCCACATGCCTTGCCCTCCCAAGTGCTGGGATTACATGCGTGAGCCACCACCCCTGACGCAGAGACTGATAAATTTAAATTTAAAACAGGACAGGTAAGATTAAGAAAGAAAATGAATCCCTCTGAATGTGTGTAATACCATAAGGAATGATGGTGGCTTGTGGCAAACTAAAGAAAAAACTGGTGAACCTGAAGGCATCCCAGTTCAAAAATTCAATGTGCTGATCACAACCAGATGCAGATGCAGGCGAGACTGGGCCCTAACTATGAGTTGAGAACCCCTGCTAGAGAAAAATACAGGCCTTCTGAAGGAAGTCTTTAGCATGAGATAAGAAACAAAGAAGAAAAAAGTGTGATTAGCAAAGTACTCTGAGGGGGAAGTCAAGCACCAAATTTTCTGTTTTACCCTTAAGCTCAAAAATAAATTTCTCTAAATATTAAAGGACAACCTGACAAGTGTTTCATTGATACAGGCACTAAAATATCAACCTTAGACCCCACAACTGTTAGCTTACACTCAGGGTCACCAAAACACTCACGTGTGGATTTCTCCATTGGGGATCGGAACATGATACTACAAAGTGTGGCACTTTGGCAAGATGAGTACTTTGAACTAAGGGAAACTGGAAATGCCTCAGAGGCAAGGTCTTTCTGATCTTCCTATCCTCTTGTTTCCTGCCCTTCTTCCTTCTCCAAAGTGAGTTACAGAAACCAGAATTCCTCTCCCCAAGGCAGGTCACAGAAACTAAAAATCCTCTCCCTCAAAGGAAGCCCTAAAACCTAGAAAGATCACTCACTCTCTTTTCCTTTCTTCCTTGAAGACCCTCATTCCAGAGGGGTTCTGCACCATATGTGGGAGGCAGGAATACTACAGAGAATCCAAGAAGAATCTGAACAGACAGTCCTTGCTGGGTCACCCTCCCTGCCCTCAGTCTATCACCATTAGATCATAACCTTTTGTCCAATCACATTTCTATACAGCTGTCCATTCTTTATCAAGCCTAAGCATAAAATCAGAGTTTTCCCTGGGTCTTTGGGTCTTCATTTCTGAAGAATCCCATGTCATGTACAATTTTGATTAAATAAATGTGTTACACTTTTTTGTTAACTTGTCTTTTGTTATAGGTATGTCAGCCATGACCCTTATGATGGTTGAGAAAAAGTATCGTATTTTTCTGCCCCTACATTCTCTGACATGGTATGGCTCTGTGTCCCCACCCATATCTCACCTTGAATTGCAATAATCCCCATGTGTCAAGGGCAGGACCAGGTGGAAATAACTGAATCATGGGGGCAGTTTCCTCCATGATGTTCTTGTGATAGTGAGTTCTCATGAGGTCTCATTGTTTTATAAGGGGCTTTTCCCCCTTTGCTCAGCACTTCTCTCTCCTGCTGTCATGTGAAGAAGGACGTGTTTGCTCCCCCTTCCACCATGACTGTAAGTTTCCTGCGGCCTCCCCAGCCATGTAAAACTGTAAGTCAACTAAACCTCTTTCCTGTATAAATTACCCAGTCTTGGGCAGTTCTTTATGGCAGCATGAGAATGGATTAATACAATCTCCAAAAACTTTCCTCCAATAACAGTCTCCAAATCCTAGCCCACAAATGTCCAGAAAACATTTGACCAACATTCTCTCCTTCTTTGTGTGACTACATATATCACTTAATAGGGAAAGATTAACTGCACAAATGCATTCACCAGAAAAAAGAGTCTCCTCATGGCTTCTTCCATGAAATGACAATTTAACAACTGTCATTCATAATGAGGTCACAGCAAACTTGTATCCAAATTAAAGATTTCAGTGAGGTGCCACTCTTCTGTGGGCCAAAACTCCACTGGTACTGGTAGAATTAGGGGCACTGAAACCATTCGTTATGGTTCACAGTCAGCAATCTAACTTTTTTTTTTGAGATGGAGTCTCGTTCTGTCACCCAAGCTGGAGTACAGTGGCACGATCTCAGCTCACTGCAATCTCTGCCTCCCAGGTTTAAGCGATTCTCCTGCCTCAGTCTCCCAAGTAGCTGGGACTACAGGCGTGTGCCTCCACGCTCAGCTAATTTTTTTCTATTTTTAGTAGAGATTGGGTTTCACCATGTTAGCCAGGATGGTCTCAATCTCCTGACCTCGTGATCTGCCCGCCTCAGCCTCCCAAAGAGCTGGGATTACAGGCGTGAGCCACCATGCCTAGCCCCAGTCTAAATGTTTATCAAACCTGCATAATATAATCAACAACCAGAACCTATAAAGAACTAAAACGTGTAGTGGAAAGCATATTATAAGACTCCCTAAACCTCTACCAGTCCCTGTAACATTCTCATCTTCCCAGCCAAAAAACTGTAATGAGTGTGTATAGTCATTCGGGACTTAAGAGTCATAAAAACAATAATTTCCCACTTTCCTATAGTACCAAACCTAGATATTATTTTATCTTTGGTGCCTCAGGAGGCTACATATTTTAGATCCATGTTCTTACATGCTTTCTTTAATGTTCCTTTACTCGAAATAGCCAATAGTTGTTTGCCTTCTTCTAGAAAAATCTAAAGTACTGTTTACGTGGGATGTGTTTCCAAGAGTTCCCTCCTACTTTTCACAAGTCCCCAATCAAGACCTCAAAGACTAAATTTCCCTGTGATTGTACTTTTATCTAATATTTGGGTAACTTTCTGTTGTCTGCTAAAGATAAGGCAGGCTCTAAGATGCTTTCTCTCTACTTCCACTCAGAAAGGGCATAAAGTTTCCAAGAGAAGTTGTTATAATTCTGTCAAAGTAAAATGCATTACCTAGCATGTGATTTATTCCGAGGAAGTAAATCCCTCACTCCTCACTACCAGCCCTAAAAATTACCATTAAATTTCCCAGATCATCAAGTCTCATTATTCTTCCCCTATAACTTTCCAATGGTTTACGTTTTTCCTCTGTGTTCTACAATATTTTTCTACTTGATCTTTCAAGTCACTAATTTGGATTCAATAGCAGTGATGCTTTCTGTCATTTACTGAATAAACTGTTCTGTTGGGAAATCTTGTCTTTTAACTCCAGAAAAAAATTGTGCTGCAATTCAATCTAAGTGATTATCTCCTTGGACTACTCTAATCCCCAGGGTTCTGTCATTTTCCTTGTTCTTCCTCAGTGTTACCTGTGATTTTTTTTCTTTTTCAGCACTAGAACTCAGCTGTTTGCCAGAGCATACTAAGCGACAGCAGAACCACAAAAAGGTGTAACAATCTCTATCACTGTGAGAGAGTAGTGGATATTGTCCTCACCTTCTCATTCTCTCCTTACAGAATTATACGTGCAATGTCCTCTATCATGTGCAGAGCCTTCATTATGAAGAATACACTTCCCAGTCCCAAAGGTGCTAGGTTTGGCCATGTCACCTGCTTTGGCCAAAAGAATGTGCTTAGAAATAAGTGTCTTCTGTAAATGAAAGTGGTTGTCAGGTTAGCTCCAGGGGTCTGGGTGTTTTTCTTTTTTATTTTATTTCATTTATTTTTATTTTATTTTATTTTATTTTTTGAGGAGGGAGGTGATTTTATTTTAATTTTATGGGCTCCTTTCTCCCTTTTTTTGGTGATCTAATTGCATTGGTTAAAAGCAGCTAAGCAGTTCTTTAGAATACGCTTTCTAACCAAATCTAACCTTATTTAGACAATGCAGATGGACAAGCTTGGATTGTTTGAACTAAAATGGGAACACTAAACAACTATCAAACCCTCACTAATAACACTGTGACTTTGCTGTCAAGTGTAGATTCCCCACTTCAAAAAATCTTGTGACCATTTGGTATGGCTTATCTGGAAACTTTTGTAAATCTTATGTTTTAGTAAAATATTTTTTGTTATTCTAAAAAAAAAAAGTGCTAGCTCTTAGCTAAGACTTTAAGAGACATAATATGCATGTTTCTGCTCATCCTGTTGCATTTCTGCTGTCACGAGAACAACCTGCCCCAAAGTGGTCCTCATCTCAAAATGAAGAAATATGGAATAGACCTCAAGCCAGTCCGATAGCCTCAGCTTCCCAGCTAATCCTTAGATCCATAAATGAGAAAAATAAATGTTTATTTTGAAAGCAACTGAGATTTTGAGAATGCCATACAGCATTCCGGCAGGAAAAATAAAAGCCTCACCAGTATGACAAACAGAAGTAAAAAAAGCAGTAAAGCAGGCTACTAACACCCCAGTGAAGCATTAGGACAGATACCTCACCTCTCTGAAATATTCCTTGCATTTTTCTAGCACTATGGATAAAAGGATCCCACTCACCATTTTTACTTTATTTCTAGCCCATAGAGGCCTTGGGACCAGGCAAATGTTGATTGACAGGAAATTCTCAGATTCCTAAGGGCAGCCCTCTCCCCAGGAGTATCCCCATTTCAACCTTTGCCCCCAGGGCTTTTTCATGCTGGTTTCTGATTCTCCAACAGTCCTTAAGATAAAAAAATCCTACAAGTGCTATGTCATTGGAACAAAAAGAACCTAAGTCCCCTCTCCCATATGGATTATCTAAAGCCTCACCCCAGCAGTTACTGGGATCTAGAGAGAAAGACAGACTAGAATTGGGAGTAAAATGTACAGAATGATCCATTCAGAAGGTCATCACTTTCCAGAATTAATCTTTATAAAATATTTATCAAATTAAGATATTATAGTGTTTCACAAGTCAGATGGTATGTTTCTGTAAATACATTTCTTCCTAAAATCAATACGAGATAAAGGGAGGAAAAACTGGGTACATACACAGAAAAAGAAAAGACAACTCTTATCTGCAACTTACTTTATGGTATAAAATGTTATTGGATCATAGACAATTATATCTAAGACTTACAAAATCAGGTTTTAAATATTTAAGTTAGTTTGCAAATGAACCTATTTTATATCACTTAAGACTGATTCTCAGTCTGAAAGGCTCCATTAAGATTAAGAAGTCTGCAAGCAACAAATATCAAATTGGCTACAGTCAAGTAGCTCAAGTATATACCTCTGAAGGTTCAATATTGTTTCAACTTACCATTTTCAAGAGGTGCATCCTCAGGCAGATCCACATCAAGCATAAGATCATCATCCTCAAGGTCACATGATTCAAGATTATTCAAAATATCCTGTGAACAAAAGCAATAAAAAATATACTATAATCTAGCTCTAAGGATATGTACAACCATTATTTTTAGAAATTGAACTATATGATATACTGAATTTGCTCATTATCTGCACTGAAAGAATAGAATAAAACAGGTTTTAAATTTTTTTTAATAACAATAGATTCAACTAGTTTAAGCTATTTCTAACATCCTTCTCCTAGTCTTCCTCCCTCCTAGTCTTCCTCCCCAACAGATTTTTATTTACATATTAAAAAACTTTAAGTCCATGTTTTTAACATCTTCCCTGGTAACATATTGAAGAATCAAAAATAGTAAAGAATCACCCAAAAGTTATTCATAATTGGTATAAGAGGTGAGAGGCTATGTTTTATTATTTCCAGGGATGGGACCACTTACATAAATAATAAAATAAGTCTTTAATAATGTGGTTATTCCATTTCCTTTACTGTGCCAAACCTACCTCCTGCTACCATTAAGCACTCTGTCACCTCCTTGGCTGGACTCAATTTATTCTTTTTCTATGATAGGACTAGACTATTCAAACTGGCATACGCAGTCCCTGCTGGCTTTTATTTGCAATCTTAGCAGCTATTATCACTTCTTAGAAAAGAAGTGTTTTATTTTCAAAGACTATTGTGCTGAAGCCTAAAGAACTGAATAAACAAAAACTAAGGTCAAGGTAATAAACTCAGTTTGACCTATAGCCCACTGGTGAGTCCTTACAATCCAAGAATGAATCCAAATATCATAAGACCTTTCCTTAGTATACACAAGTAAAAAGATCAAAAGTCCAACAAACTTTTAAAAGACTGAGACATCATGGTCATAAAAAACGCTTATAGAAGGGAAATATCTACTTTATTACAGACAATATGAATAAAATTAAAACTGTTTCCTATGTTGGGTGTTCCATGCAAATATGTTCAATTTTGTGTTGGCCCCTCCAAAAGTAACTAGAAAAATTATCTGAAAAACAAAATCTCTGGAAATTTTTTTTTTCATTTTAAAAAACTCTTGCAGAATGTTTGACATGCAATTAAACTGTACACATTTAAAGCAAACAGGAGAGAGTGCCAAGATGGCCAATTAGAAGCAGCTATAGTCTATGGCACTCATGGAGAGGAATGAAAGCAGCGAGTGAATTCACCACCTTCAACTGAAATATCCAGGTTCTCGCATTGGGACTGACTAGACAAATAGTTTCACCCACAGAGAATGAAGAAAAGCAGGGTGGGGCAACAGTCCACCTGGGACCCATGTGGAGCCAAAGGAACTCCCAACCTCAGCCAAGGGAAGTGGTGAGTGATTGTGCAATCCCACCTGGGGAAACCACACTTCTCCCACAGGTCTTTGCAACCAGCAGAACAGGAGATCCTCTCATAAGACCACGTCACCAATACACAGAGCAGTGTGGCATCCAGGTAGGGCAGCAGTTCGGGCACACACAGAGATGCAAGAGTTTTGCATATTCCACCCCTGGGATTCCCAGCAAGGCAGATCTGTCCCTACATACCACTAGGAGTGTGGCTGAATCCAAGGATCCAAGCAGCGTCATTCTGCAGGCCCCACTTGCACGGCACCTTACAAGTTAAGACCCACTGACTTGGAATTCCAGCCAGCCAGCAATGACAGGCCAGAGTCTGCCTGAGAAGGACTGAGTTTCCAGGAACAGGGGCAGCCACCATCTCTGCCGTCTGGTCAACTCAGCTGATCCAGTCTGCTGGCTCCGGAGAGTCCAGATAGTCCAAACAAGGAAGGGTCCCCCACAATGCAGCACAGTTGTGCTACCAAAAAGCAGCCAGACTGCTTCTTTAAGTAGGTCCCTGATCCTGTTTCTCCCGAATGGATGAGACCACCCAACAGGGTCTCCAGCCACCTCCTACAGGTGCATCCTTCAGGCTGCCAACAGGTCAGTAACCCCTGGAATGGAGTTTCCAGAGGAAGGATCAGGTTGCCATCTTTGCTGTTTCATAGCCTTCACTGGTGATACCTCCAGGTAAGAAAAAAACTGAGGCAACTAGGGTCTGAAGAGGAATGCCAGCAAACCCCAGCAGCCCTTTGGAGGAGTAGCCTGACTGTTAAAAGGAAAACAAACAGAAAACAACAGCAATAAAAACATCAACAAAAAAGACCCCACAAAAATCCCATTCAAAGGTCAGCAACCTCAAAGATCGAAAGTAGATAAGCCCACAAATATGAGAAAGAATCAGTGCAAAAACGCTGAAAACTCAAAAGGCCAGAGTGCCTCATCTCCTGCAAATGACCACAACACCTCTCCAGCAAGGGCACAGAACTGGGCTGAGGATGAGATGGCTGAACTGACACAGTAGGCTTCAGAAGGTGAGTAACAACAAACTTTGCTGAGCTAAAGGAGCATGTTGTAACCTAATGCAAAGAAGCTCCGAATGATAAAACACCACAGAAGTTGATAGTCAAAATAGCCAGTTGAGAGAGGAACATAACTGACCTGATGGAGCTGAAAATCACAACATGAGAACTTCCCAATGTAATCACCAGTATCAATAGCACAACAGACCAAGCAGAGGAAAGAATCTCAGAGCTTAACGACCATCTTGCTGAAATAAAACAAGCAGACAAAATTAGAGAAAAAAGAATGAAAATAAATGAAAAAAATCTCTGAAAAATATGCAATTATGTAAAGAGACCAAACCTATAACTGATTGGGATACCTGAAAGAGATGGGGAGAATGGAACCAACTTGGGAAACATACTTCAGGATATCATCCAGAAGAACTTCCCCCAGGTAGCAAGACAGGCCAACATTCAAATTCAGGAACTGCAGAGAACCCCAATAAGATATTCTATGAGAAGATCAACCCCAAGACACATAATCATCAGATTCTCAAGGTCAAAATGAAAAAAAAAAAATGTTAAGGGCAGCCAGAGAGAAAGACCAGGTCACCCACAAAGGAAAGCCAATCAGACTAATAGCAGACCTCTCAATGGAAACCCTACAAGCCAGGAAGAGGTTGGGGAACAATAGACAACATTCTTAAAGAAAATAATTTCCAACCCAGAATTTCATATCCAGCCAAACTAAGCTTCATAAGCAAAGGAGTCTGCTTTGCAAGAGCTCCTGAAGGAAACACTAAATATAGAAAGGAAAAACCATTACCAGCCACTACAAAAGCACACTGAAGTACACAAACAAGTAACACGGTGAAGCAACCACATAAACAAGTCTGCAAAATAACCAGCTAGCATCATGATGACAAGATCAAATTTACACACAATACTAACCTTAAATGTAAATGGGCTAAATGCCCCAATTAAAAGACACAGAATGGCAATCTAAATAATTAGCCAAAATCCACTGGTATGCTGTCTTCAAAAGACCCATCTTGCATACAGAGACACACATAGGCTCAAAATAAAGGGAGGGAGGAATATTTACCAAGCAAATGGAAAAACATAAAAAAGTAGAAGTTTCACTCCTGGTTTCTGACAAAATAGACTTTAAACCAAGAAAGATCAAAAAAGACACAGAAGGGCATTACATAATGGTAAAAGGTTCAATTCAACAAGAAGACCTAACTATCCTAAATATATATGCAGCCAAAATAGGAGTACCCAGATTCAGAAAGCAAGTTTTTAGAGACCTACAAAGAGATGCAGACTCCCACACAATAACAGTGGGAGACATTAACACCCCAGTGACAATATTAGAAAGATCATTGAGACAGAAAATTAACAAAGATATTCAGGACCTGCACTCAGATCTGGATCAAGTAGACCTGATAGATATATACAGGACTCTCCACCCAAAAACAACAGAATGTGCATTCTTCTCATGGCCACAGGGCACTTACTCTAAAATTGATCACATAATCAAAAGTAAAATGCTCCTCAGCAAATGCAAAAGAACTGAAATCATAACAGTGTCTCGGACCATAGTGCAACCAAATTAGAACTCAAGATTGAGAAATTCACTCAAAACTACACAACTACATGAAAATTGAACAACCTTCTCCTGAATGACTCTTGAGAAAATAATGAGAGTAAGGCAGAAATCAAGAAGTTCTTTGAAAGTAAGGAGAACAAAAAGAAAACATACCACAATCTCTGGGATGCAGTTAAAGCAGTGTTAAGAGGGAAATTTATAGCACTAAATGCCCACATCAAAAAGCTAAAAAGATCTCAAGTTAACAACCTAACATCACAACTAAAAGGACTAGAGAACAAAGAGCAAACCAACCCCAAAGTGAGCAAAACACAAGAAATAACCAAGATCAGAGCTAAACTGAAGAAGATGGAGACACAGAAATCCCTTCCAAAAAAAAAAAAAAATCAACGAATCCAGGAACAGTTTTTTGAAAAAGTTAATAGACAACTAGCTAGACTAATAAGAAGAAAAGACAGAAGAATCAAATAAACATAATCAGAAATGATAAGGGGAATATCACCACTGACCCCACAGAAATAGAAACAATCATCAGAGAATACTATAAATACCTCTATGCACATAAACTAGAAAATCTAGAAGAAACAGATAAATTCCTGGACGCATACACCCTTTTTGGGAGAAAAGTTGAGTAGTTGGGAGAGAAGCTGAGGCAGGGCTTGCAAGTCTGCTGGACTTGCTGGCTCCTTGCTTCTAGCACTCCCATTATCTCAAGTAGCCATATGTTTCTCGTTCACTTAATACACCATTTCCTTTCAACCCCCACATCCTCACCACCTGTTTCTTTGTTTGAGCACCAATAAATACCATGGGCTCCCAAGATCGGGGCCTTCACAGCCTCCACACTCACAATAGACCCCTGGTCCCACTTCCTCTCTCAAACTATCTTTGTCTCATCCCTTTGACTCCACTGGACTTCATCATCCCAACGACCTGTTATTGGGTCTGATCACCCCAACAAGCCTCCCAAGACTGAACCAGGAAGAAACTGATTCCCTGAACAGACCAATAACGAGTTCTAAAATTGAGCCAGTAATAAACATCCCACCAACCAAAAACAAAGCCCAAGACCAGATAG